TTGTATTTTAGGATAAATGTTCTGATATTTGGAATATTATAAAGTATTTTCTTCTTTATGAAAAAAGCTTTAAAAATTACAGAAATTTTTTGATTTAAAAAAAATAATTATTTTGGGTTTTTTATTTCCAAAAAAGAGGGCGAGTTTCCTAAAACCCGATTTTAAAAGTGAATTTCCTAATTGAGGGCGATTTCTAGCCATGTTTTTTCTGACTGTACAAATAGATGCCAAGGAAATGGATAAGGCCAGCTGAGTTGTCCTGGGTTAGCTTTATTGCTGTGTTTAAAATATATAACCTTAGTGTCGGCTACAGCCGTTGAGAATACTGTGCACACACACACACACACACACACACACACACACACACACACAAACAGGATACAAACAGAGCACAGAACAATGAACTATAATTTATATGCCTCGAATTAATTTAACTCACGGCTACCAAACTTATCACCAGCTGCTTACAAATGAAACACGGCACAGGACACACACAGATACCGACTCAGGTTCTCAGTCTTGGTTTAAGAATCTAGCTGTGGCTGCCTTAGAGCACTATTGTGCCCATGGAGCTTGTGCGTATCGTTTGTATCTGTGGCAAATGCAACTCTCATTGGTGTAGTTGCAATATTTAGCTAAAATATGCTACACTTTCACCATTTTGAGACAGCCGGACAGGCTGTTTGAGCACGACCCCCTGGCTCCCACTACATCTGCCTGTATAATTTAATAAGGTTTGGCAAATGTATTGCTAGGCACAGAGCACACACACACACACACAAGCTGCCTGGCTGCCTGCCTCTTATTGTTGCACGTTTTGTAGTTTTCGACAGGTGGGTTGGGCCATATAATTTCATTATACCCTGGAAGAGGGTATAATAGCAGTGTCGTAAAGTTTGTAATAGCCTGTAAAGGGCACAGTCCAAATATTGCTGCTCTGCTACATCGTCTCTGATGTCGATGTTCTTTCTTAAGCAGCTCAGCTTTAGCAGAGAAATTTAATATATATCTTACCTCGAATTTATTTTGCATATTTTATTATTGTTGCAAAAATTCAAATTCATATTTTCCAAATAAAATTTATAATTCGATTATTATGATAATTTTTCTTAAATTAAATTTTCTCAACGCGAACTGGACTGAAATTTGAGTTTTTGTTGTCTTTCGCATGAAATTTAAAGAAAATCTATATCTAAATATTTAAGCCATATCGATTTGATAGTGTATACGCAGTGCGTGATGCAATGGCAATTTGTTATTTTTGTTAAAATTGGCCTTCAAGCATTTGCCGGTCGTCTAGTGTACAAACTTATATTTCATTTGTGCGGCTAATGCAATACGTTTGTGCCTTATAAATTACTTAGTAGCATTTAAGTGCTGAAATGTTTTGTCGGTTAGTTGTGCTGGCATTTGACTTCCTAGACCGGTTCATAAATTTCAATTTATCTTTAGACTTTCCCTTCTTTATTTATTTCCAGATGTTGACAAGTAACATTAAGCCCGAGGCACCTTTTCACCACACGGGCTACACTTTGCTCCCCTTTTCCAAAGTAAATGTAATGGAATGTGTGCAAGGCACCGGGAAAAAAGGTTGCAAACAACCACAGCCACAACAGAGAGTTTAAAAGGCTTTCTCCCCCTTTCTTATTTCTTTTGCTTGACACTCAAAGTAGTGCAACATTTTATGACAGACCTTTTGCAGTTGCGTCTGACGACTCAAGGCCAGGCAAGGGATTTGTGCTTAAGGATAATTTCTTTAAGAGCTTCAGACTGACGACACAACTTTATTGGGGGAATTAAGGTGTTAAATTCTTAACGAGGGATAGAGTGAAGCATGCAAATGCTTTTATATATTCTCTGTGAGATTTTCACAAATTTAAATTAAATATTTCAGAATCTATGATTAGTAGAAAAGTAAAAGAGAGATATATATTCGATAAAACCTTTTAAATTAAAACGTTCTTTAAGGCTGAAGATTATAGCTTGGCATACAATTGATAGCTTTTCTTTCAATTACAAACTCTTTTATCGCACAGTTCAAATTTTAACTTTCACTCTATTCAAACATTTGCAAACTATCGAAACCGGCAACTTAATCAATTTAGGCACCATTACACCGTCCTACAGGCTTTTGTTTCGGCTATCACTCCTCCCTCTTTTTGCATTGTTCCATTCAAGAAGTTTTCAGTTTTCAGTTTTAAGTTGGACACGCCCAGTTTTTTGACCCAGAGCCACGAAGCTGGGTGGAAAGCTCGAAACAAGTGCATGAAAAGTTCAACACTAGACAACAAGCAACAACAAAAACAAGAGCTAAGGCTGTAAAGGTACAAAAAAGTTGTACTCATTAGCATGCGGCTGCTGCCTGGAGTATGTCTGCCGTGTGCTCCTGCTTGGAGATGTCCTGGTTGCAAGTGCTGCTTATGCGTGAGCTACTTTCAACAGCAGACGACAGCAGTTGGCGCCTGCACCTATTCGGATCTTGTGGGCGTTGGCCTAATCTGGAAACCCAAGCCAAAAACGAAAAGTTTTGCTAACCTGCTCAGACCCTCGAGATGTCGTCTGTGGTTTGTGTGTGCGTCCGACGCTCTGTCAAAAACTGTCTGCATCACTGAAAGCGAAAACCGATGGGCAACCCAACTAAAACCAAATCCAAACTTGGCCCATCTCCCTGCCGAAGCCCAACCCCAAATCCAAGTCCCCGCCAAGCCGCACTTGCTAGTCGAGCTGAGTGCAATTCACATGCATAGTTTTTCGAGTGCAATTAAGTGAAATTCGTATTAGTTGTGTGTGGGTGCTGCTGCCAGGATGTAAGGATATAAGGATGTGAGCTTGAGAGCTGCTGAGGAACATGTGCCAGGCGGCGAAAAGTATTAGCTAAAGGACGACACGAGCTGTAGATAGGACTAAAACAAACTTGGACACGTTGAATTGGGCAACCATGTAAGCCACGTGGCATGTAGGTGGAAAAGAGGAAGGGGAAGGGAAAGGCGAAGGGGAGGGGGAAAGGGGCTCTCCGAAAGTTGTCGTTTGCTTCTCTGATAATGTGGCTAACATGTAACACGCGCTCGCATACAGAGCATGTCATTAAAAGTTGTCCCCCCTCAACCGCAGCGCCCACCGCAGCGCACTTTCCACAAAGCTGAGGACAACTAATTCTTCGGCAATAACTTTTTGGTTTGTTGCAAGCGGTTGCCAAATAGTTGCCGAACCTAAAACTTGAAAAGGTTATTGGCTTTCTGGTATTGATATAAGTGGTTCTCGGTAACAATGTGAAAAAGTGATTAAGTACCAAAAAATTGAATCGTTGGAAATAAAGGAATATGGAACAATGGAATTATTAACAATAGAGCGTCCATAGCTTTCTGGTATTTGTATTTGTAGTTCTTGATAACTAGATGATATACTAGCTTTTGAATTCGAAGAAACTGAAACACTGCAAATTGAAAAAGTTCAATATGGAACAGAAACAAATTTTAAGAATTGGGTGGCTGGTTTTCTGGTACTGACATTAGCCATTCTTGACAACTTAATATAAAATTACAATTTTAATTCAAGGAAACTGAAACGCTGGAATTGAAAAAAAAAGTACACTATGAAAAAGTACACAGGCTTCCCGGTATTGATATTGAGGATTCTGAGGATTCTTGAGGATTGACAACTTAATAAAAAATTACATTTTTACTTTAAAGCAACTAAAACGCTGGAAATAAAAGAAAAAGACTTTGTCACAAATGAATGAGGAACAAAAGAGGAGAATAATGTCTAGAATTTCCTGCTATTGATGTCATTGGCCCTGGACAACTGTATCAAAAACCAATTTTATAATTTGAAGAAACTGAAACAGTGAAAATGAAACAATTGCAATATGGAACAGTTGAATTTGAAACAGAGAAGAATAGTAGTTGTACTTATATGAAAATCATAATAGGGGACATTATAACTTGCGAAAAGGAAAACATAAAACTAAAAATTAAAGAGAGGGATGATGGAATAAGTGCAATATGAAGTAAACAAATATTTATCGATTTATTTTTAACATTACAAGTTAGGCTCATAATTCAAATTATAAAAATATCTTTCTGGAATAGCCCAAAAAAAAAAATGTATAGCTCAAAGAACTGACCACGAAAATTGAACAACATAGTTTAAAAATGAAGTTAAAGCAGTTCAATTATAGAACAAAGACTTGAAAACTTTTAAATTTAAAACACATCGAACAGACACGCGCCAACTTGCTGCTAAGCATTTTAATATTTATTAAAAAGTATATTATATGATCTTGTTTCACCTATTTTTTAGATCATCAAGCTTAAGTGTGCCATTTTTGAATGATTGGTATTTCATATGTCATTTGCCACAGCCAGAAATGTCCTTCAAGTTGACAAAAGGCGTCCTCAAACGGCAGCCGCAATATATATTTACTTTAAAGCAGACACACACACAATAAGCTTTACGACATTGGGCCATCACACATAAAGAAGGCAGAGGAGGAAACAGGCGAAGACAAAATTACATGAAATTATGTTTGCACAACAGGGTTGGGCCAGTGCCATGTCCAGGCTGTGTGCACAGGATCCCAACCTGCTCCGGTGTATCCAATTCCATTAAAATCAATTTGTCTATTTATTTAACCGATAATCTGCTGAAGCGGTTGGCTGTAAAATTTCGCACCCCAGTGCTGGGAATTGTGCACGACAGGATATAAAGGAGGGTCTACACCTCAAAAACCTCTAATTTGTCAACATCAAGCGGCGAATGGCAGGACTGGACAGGTAAAATGTTTTAATTTGACCAAAGTCTCGCCTGTACAGGCCCCTTATCACAGTGTCGATTTATTATGGTCAGTGTGTTTCAAGTTTGGGTTCAACGTGTGTCGTGTTCTTGCTGCCAGTCAACTGACAGCATTGGGAACATATAAATATATGCATCAGAAGATAGCCCGTGCTTAGGTCTGAATTCCCTAAACATATGTTCTTATATATATGTAAATATGTACTTACCTGAGTATTCACATACGTACACACAACTATTTTATTGCCATCTATTTGCTGGAGGGAGACAGACTTCAATATATCCACATCACTGACATAAAAAAGACGTAAAGAGTAAGTTAAAGCAAGAGCAAAAAAACAGATAACTAAAATTAGAGAGGGCTAGGGAGAGAAAGTGTGAGAGAGAGAGAGAGAGAGAGAGAGCGACAACAGAATGAGCTGAGTTGAAGTTTATTAAATTGCCAACACAGCTTTTTAATATAACACTTACAATCAAAGCACGAAATCCTGCTAGCCTTACTTGAATTCGTGAGAATCGCAGAGAAGGGCAATATTTCAAAATACTATATTTGCCCTTTGCACTGCCGCGTTAAGTAAACTTAGCCTGCGCTTGGTATATACAAAACATAAGTTTATTAGGTAGCCAACACAATTTTGTAGTACTTGAATTCATGAGAATCTCCGAGTGGGGCAATATTTCTGATAACTAGTTCCTTTTAGTGCTTGCAGCGCAGTGGGAAGAAAATTTCTCCTGCCTTTCATATAAGAGAACATATATAGAGGGTACTACGCGACCTTTCGCCGTCTAAGTTTTTATCTTCAAGTTTTGAATGGTTTTAATAAATACAGAGTGCAATATATTACGTTTGTATACATCCCTCCAGGTGACTTGTCGCTTTTTTACGACACTATTAACATCATGTTGTATGTGATTTACGGGTAGCGGTCAACAGGCATTATGGCCCTTGCCCTTTGAGCCATTTTTCCCTGATGATTTTGTTTTGTTTTTTTTTATAGTATTTTTATGGACAGCCATCAAAATAGGCGGAGGCGAGCTCGCACGCTGCAAAGTAGGCTACAAAAAATGCTTGTAAAAGCCATTAACTAAGCGTCAAGTGAAAATGGCCAACAACAGCTGCTTTGTTGATTTTGACATATGAGAATGATAATGTTAGCTGGCCTTAATTGTACCCGACACAACATCACATCCGCCTTTATTTTAATATACTCTTCACAGGCCTGGTTAGATGGGGTATATTTGACTAAGGAGTGTTTTGGACATGTGCATAAAATCAGTTTAAGTTTGTTAAGTTCAAGTTTGTTCTTGACTTCATTAGATCTTCGCTTTCCACATGAACATACACAATATTGAAAACTTTCATTTAATAAAAGTTTAAGAGCTATAAAATATTGTTGGGATTTTAAACATTTAGCTTATGTTCAGTGTTGGAAAACATAGAAAAATTAACAAAAATTATATATTTAAATATATAGCAAAATATTAAAAGAAAGCTAACATTTTTAGAAATAATCACATTTAATGGCTAGTTAGTCGAATGTAGAGTGTATTGAAATGTGAATAATTAATTTGTTTATTTTTTAAATGATTTCATGTTCTTTGTGTAATGGGCTAAACGCGTTTGCTCACTTAGCAGTGCGTTTAGCCTGCTGCTCAGTTTCTCTAGCCGAGAAACCAGCCAGCCCAGTCTGCGGTACATCAATCAAATGCCTCCACAGCACTTAACAGCCACAGGAGCCGGCTGACTGCTGGGCAGCATCTGGACAGCACAGTTGGCACTGGCTTCTGCTTCAGTGCTTAAGTGTGCTGAGTTGACAGTTTTCTGCATTTTTTTTTTTTATTTTTTTTTTCTCTTTCTATGCCGGGCTGGGACGCGGTCACTTGAAGCGCAAATAATTGAAATTAATAAATTGAATTTAATTGAAAAGCGTTGGACAACTTAGGCACTTAAAGGCAGCAGCCCGCCAGTTAGCCAGCTAGCCAGTCATCCAGCCAGGCTCGAGAGTCAATGAGTTGTGCTCTCGCTGCCTAGAAATAAACAAGTAAGAGCTTCTAGTAGGGAGCTCCCGACTAGGGGATACCCTGAACCCTCTTCTTCCAACAGGCGATAGGTATAAAATGAAAGATTCTTGATATATATATACTATTCTAGAAGCTACATGTCAAGTTTGGTGACTCTAGCTCATATTATTTACCAAAATTGCTCAAAAAACAGGATTTCGATATCGATTTTTATCGATTACTTGGAAACGAGATAAGTTATCGAATATCGGAAACAAACTCGATCTGCGCGGGCACTAGGAGGACCTACAGCTAAAATTTCTCTAGCTCTTATAGGTTCTGAGATCCTTGCGTTCATACATACGGACAGACGGACATGGCTAGATCGACTCTGCTGTTGATGCTGATCAAGAATAAATTTACTTTATGGGGTCGGAGATGCTTCCTTCTGCCTGTTACATACATTTGCACAAATACATAATAGCCTTTTTACCCATTTTCAGTGGGTTCAGGGTATAAAAAGCAGCCGCCGGTCTGTCTGCATTTGGCTGGCATTGCCGCCGTCGCCTTTCAATTTCAATTTCCGCTGCACTTTGCATAAATCTTTTATCGTTCGAAAGATGGCAACAACTTGGCAAGGTTTTTCGGTCGGGCTTGTGGGTCCGTTTTGTGCAAACATTGCGACGGTCTGCGAAAGCTAATCGTCAGCTGTGCACCATTCATTCATTCAGTGAGCACGAAGACCATTTGAATTACAATACGCTTGGCCGAAACTTCCTGCAGCTGCAGGTTGAGTTAAATATTTTTTGGCTAGCAGCCTTGTCGAGTGCATTTGTTGCATGCCGTTTACTGTTTGCTGTTTCTTTTCATTACGTTTTGCTTGAGAATTATGCCAGCCAAACAAGCAGCAGCAGCAACAACTCGACGACTAACAAGATTTTCGACTCCCTGGCCAACGTGACGTAAACACAGTTTTTGCTTCAAGAAACTTTCTAAGCCAAAAATTGTTTGGTTAAATTTAATTTATGGACTTGCAAACGCAAAAATACAAAACTAGTTTAGCATCAACGGCACTCGAGTGTAAACCACAAGCCGCACAACATGGCGTATGTGTAATCCCAGTGTCTTTGTGTGTGCTTGACATTTATGAAAAGTTACTTTTGGCCTGATTAGGTCATGTGCATGAAGCACTGTTGGAGTCATTGATCTAGAACACTTTGGCCAACAGCCTGCTCTGATAGGTATTTATCTTAATATATTTTGTGCCTTTTCAGCCTGATGATGATAAATCCCTTTTTGCAACAATAAACAGAACAATTAGGGCAACCTATCAATCAAGGCATTAAAATCATTTATCAAAAAGACAAAGCGATTTAAAAGTCAGTAAAGGTTGTGCCTAAAAAACAACATTTTATTTAAGTCTTTGCATGAAAATAATAAATAAATTAGGTTGAGCTTCCATTAAAAATATTATGATTCAATTATATGCACAAATAATTGATTTAACAGAGTTAATCAGTTTTGAACAACAACAGCCAATAATAAATTCTTTATTGAGAGAGATATTTGCCAAAATTGCTCAACATCATTTTCTGGCCACTTGACAGCTCATAAGCTGCCAAAATGGCAACTCCAAATAAATAAATATATATAAAACAGCATTATCAGCAGACGCTGTTCAACGAGGCTGTCAGCAGCTTGACGGCTTAATTATAATTTTTTTTTTTATTGTTGAAAAAAGCTTTTTACTCTTTATTAATCGTTCAACGTCATGGGGGCAGAGCACGGGGGCGTGGCTTTAGATTGAGAGCTGAAGCATCATGGCTTTAGTTTGTATCATGGGAGTTTGTCTATTGTTTGTTAAGTTGAAGGCATTTTTGATTAATTGACGGGGCCGCGACGCAAGTGATTTATTAGGTGTTCTCACCTGTCGGTCGGGTTCTTTTTTGTTGTTGAGAATTCGGTCGCGCATATATAACATAAATATACATATAAGCAATTGATTGCCTCAACTTTATCATAATACCCTCAAGTCCTGCTCGTAAGTATATTTTTCGTGTGGTCTGCATGTGTGTGTGCCATAGGCTTACCAACCCAGTTAGTCAAGGTGGCAACGAAAGCCTTTCGCAGCAAATTTTACAGCCAGACAAAGTTTGCACGGCGAACGGCAAACTTATTACAAATTCCAAATTGGCGGTCCTTGGCTCAGCTGTTATTTTTAGATAACACCCAAAGCATACTCTCTCTCCACACTGCCCAAATCCCACCCGGCTATAAGCTTTTAAGTCAAATCAAATATCCAGTCGTTAGCTCATAACTCCCGTTTCTTATTCAGCAACTTTGCCGTAAGTTTGAAGTGTGTGAATTCCAGAACATCATTTACACACATTTTGCAAATTTCATCAAGGTATCGCATAGCTTGGACAGTTTTCATAGTTCGTCGCATTTCAATTTAACGAAAGTTTCTAATTAAAAAAGTTCTTTTGTAGTTCTGTAGAGCAAAACGTTTTCATAAGTACACACTTTTGGCTAATTAACGCTGCCAAACGGACAACATATCTGTGCTTCAAATATATATAACCAAATGTCCTGAAGCCAAGTGTACAGCTGGCGAGCAAAGGATGTATCTAACAGACTGTAGGCTTGTGGAGTGTGGTGCTCAATGACAATCATTGAGCACTTGTTTGCCCAGCAATTACAGAAGCACTTCCACTGACGCTTGAATTATAAGTGCTTGCTTTTTGCTTTCTTGCCGGTGCTTAGATACTCTTTGAAGGTATATTTGGAGAGAGCGAGTATTTATGCATAAAACGAAATTTTATGAAAGTCCAAATTAGAATACCCCCTCTTCCGTAACTCACTTTCTGTTTGCTTACGCAATTTAGTTAGAGTTAGAGATGAGCACGAGTCGTGCGTGCTCTGTGCGGGCTCGTGCATACCTTATTAACACGACGAGCACGACGATATCTTAATTTAAGCTACAGTGAAAAGAGTTTGAACAGTTACAACTATCTGACTCTAGTCCAGACGATAACTCGCATGTTTTAATCAAACCTAATAAGCACGACTTCGCTTCGCTAGGAGACAAGTCGGAATAAATTGAATGAGCTGCAGTTGAAATAGATATTGACTCAGAAAACCTTATTCTTAAATTCAGAAAAATAGCGAATGAGTAAAAACTTCTCCATTCTCGCTCGTGCTAGGCTAGGCTGAGCCGTGTTTATTTCGTGCTCGTGTACTGAGCACTCGGCACGCGCCCATCTCTAAGTCTTAGTGCAAAAGTATTGCAT